CAAGTGCACATGGAGGTCAGAGGACAATTTTGTGTAGCTGGTTCTTTCCTCTACCCAAGCTTGCACATCAAGTGCCGTTACCCACTGAGCCATCTTGCAGGCCCTTTCTTGACATTTTTAAGATCACTTCTGGGGGTGATGGGTAGACTAGGAGAAGTTGGGGGAACAGCGTGAGGGGTGATTATGATCAAAATACACTGTATACATTTATGAAATTAAAATTTAAAATATTGTATTACACTTCTATCGGTGATATTCTCAAATTTCTCAACTCCCTGGCCTGTATTTGTAGTCAAAAGTTTTTCTGTGTCTTGCCTGGCCTGTGGTCAGGACAAATCTCTCACCCACAGTCCCACAGCCTTTTATAAAATAATTGCATCAATGTTATTTATAACTGCTTGGCCATTTGCTCAGGCTTATTACTGAGTAGCTCTTACACTTAAATTAACCCATAATTCTTATTTATATTTAGCCACATGACTTGGTACCTTTTCTCAGTTCTGCCTTCACATCTTGCTTCCTCTGTGACTGGCTGGTGACTCCTGACTCAGCCTTACTCTTCCCAGAATTCTCCTTGTCTGCTTATCCCACCTATACTTCCTGCCTGGGTACTGGCCAATCAGCATTTTGTTTATCAACCAATCAGAGCAACACATTCACAGCATACAGAGCGACATCACCCATCACTTATTAGTTTTTTTCTAATTTGTACTGCTATTAAACAAATTTATTCTAAACATAATAGCTTAAAATGTGGCATCACCTGGGCAGCTTTTTCTTCACATTCCTCATGGAGTTTAGTCAGGTAGTGGCTGAGGTGCAGCCACTGATGGTTGTTGGGCTCCAAGTGCATACATGGGTAGAGGTGCTCTTGCACTGTTTTCTTCTGCTCCTGCTGACAGTGGAGCCCTGAGTCAGTGAGCAAAGTCTGCCTGCTGACGGTTTTCTCCTAGATCCCAGTTACCAATGCTTGTAGGTCTTTTTCCTTTTTCCTTTGTGTGTGTGTATGTGTTCATGTGGTTATGTGCATGTGGATATGTGAATACATGTGGGCATCCATATGTGTATGAGGATCAGAAGCGGACACTGGGGTCTTCCTTGATTGCTTTTTTTTTTTTTTGAGATAGTGTTTGTCACTGAGCCCAGAACTAGCCAGTTCTTTTAGGCTGGCTGTCTAATGAGCTCAAGGGTTTTGTTTCTGCCTCTCCAGCATTGGGTTTACAGACTGGGGCCACTCTGCTTGGCTTCCGCGTGCATGCTAGGGATCCAAACACTTTACTGACTGAGCTATCTCATCAGCTCTTGCCTCCCTCACTCCCCTCCTTCTCTCCTCCGCCCCCGTCTCTCCTCCCTCTCTCAGGTGGTCCTGCTATGTAGCTCTGGGTGGTCAAAATTACAATTCTCCCACCTCAGCCTCTGAAGTGCTGGAAGTACCACCATGCCCAGTTGCCTCAGAGAAATTTTTACTCCTGTCTCAAGCTATCTGTTGGAATGTGAGAGGTAGGACCGGATTCCCCTACAAGTGTAGACTTCCAATCCCTCTGCTTTTGGCAACACCTAGCTGTGCTTCATGCTCAGTTCTTATCTGCTCTTTACTTGGCTGTTCAGGCTGCCACCCGGGCAGGAGAATGAAACTGTAATAATGTTCCTCCAAGTTTTTCACCTCGCCTCCCAGTTTCTGTACTTCGAGGCTTCATTGGCAAGAGCTGTCATTTTCTTGTTGGCTTTACCTATGTATATGGTTTGCTGAGTCAGTCACTCCTCCATCTGTCTCTGGCCTTTATACTTTTTCTCTTTGACTTTACAATCTTTTCTAAAATTGAGAACTTCATACATGCGTATACTGAGTTTGGATTAAACCACCCCTCATTCCCTCCCCTCCAGCTCCTTGCCTATCTCACCGGTCCCTTCCCACTTTTGTTGTGGGTTTTTTTTTTTTTTTATGTCTTTGTCTTTTGACGAGGATGTGGATAGGAAATAGAGGTCAACATCTACATCCAGCCTGGTGTTTTTAACTAGAAATTTCTTTTCCCTGTCATTAGATTTTTCTCTCTGTCTCCTAAGATAGCTCCTCAGTCACTAATTATTTTCCCACAGTCCATCAACAACTCCCATCAACTTCATTTTATAATCCCTTCAGAACGTCAATACAACCAGGTCTTCACTCGGCTTCCTTGCCTCATTCCTTCAGTTTTCCTCCTTGACAGACTAGAAAAGATCGGTACCTCAGGGTTCTCCCAAGGGCATCTCTAGTGGGTTTCTAGTTGGTCCCATCTCTTGATTCCAAATGCCACCTGATCAGATTCCTCTCTCTAGAGTTGTTCTCTTTTCTGAATGACAGTCTACAGAACACTTGTTCTCCCAAGTTCACTAAATAAGGCACTCTCCACTTGGATGGCTAATATTTGTCATACCATATCCCCAGTGTAAAAGTTGACATTTCCAAACAAACCTTACCTATTTTCGTACATGACACTGGCTCCTCCGATCTTTTCTTACTTCTACACACAGTTAAGGCCCTTTCCCTTGGCCTATCTTGAAATCCTTAGGCTCCAGGATCTTTGTCAGACACCAAAGCTCTCCCAGTCTTCATACAGCTAAGGAGGTAACACAGACATTGTCTTCCTTGTCAAGGGAAGCTCACTCTATACCTAGTTGTCCAGGTCCCAAACTTCAGAGTCTTATGTACTTAGTTTATAGAATAAGCTAAAAGTGGTGTAAGTTGAGACAAACATTTCTTTCTGATGATTGTCTCTAGAAATTTATGTGTGAATTTGCAGATGACTTTGTTTTTATTTCTTAGATGTTAAAAAAGCATATTCATAAGATGTCTAGTCTAGTAAAATATCCATCAAAATTCCTTTGCAGCTGAAATTGCTGTCATCTACTTAGCTTTGCCATTCTTCAAGTCTGAGATGCCGTACAGACCGGAATTCTTCCTACTTTTCATGCTTTAACATAGAAGAACTTCCCTGGAAAAAGTTCTGGCTTCTCCTGCTCCAGGGAAACAGTGACTTATTTAGTAAACCTGGGAGAACGAGCAGGGTCCACTACGGTAGGCTTCCCTGGGCAACTTTTCTGGGGTCTTCTCATTGGCATACTGTGTTTGCATGGTACTTGGGTGGGTCACTCCCCAAAGCTCTAGTTGTTCACCTGGGTCACCTGAGACACGTGTCCAGGAAAGGCATTCATTATGAAGCAGCTAGCTAGCTCTCATGCTTTCCTTTAAGCCTTGCTCTCCAAATCGACTTTTCCATTTTGAGTTTTTTGTTTTGTTTTGTTTTGTTTTTTCGAGACAGGGTTTGTCTGTGTAGCTTTGCGCCTTTCCTGGAACTCACTTGGTAGCCCAGGCTGGCCTTGAACTCACAGAGATCTGCCTGGCTCTGCCTCCCAAGTGCTGGGATTAAAGGCATGTGCCACCACTGCCTGGCCCATTTTGAGTTTTTAAAATTTTTTCTTATGTGTACGAGTATTTTGCTGGCATATAGGTATGTGCATCACCTACATGCCTGGTGCTTAAGGAAGTCAGAAGAGGGCATCAGATTCCTTGTAACTGGAGCTATAGATGGCTGTGAGCCACCAGGTGAGTGCTAGAAATCAATTCCAGGTTTTCTTCAAAGGCATCAAGTAGTCTTAACCACTGGACCATCTCTCCAGCCCCCAAACCAACCACCTGTGGCAAGGCTGTCATATGTCATGATGCCTACTCATCATATATCTTTTTTTAAAAAAATAATTTATCTTTATTTTATGTGCACTGGTGTATGCATGTATGTCTGTGTGAGGGTGTCAGATCTTAGACTTACAGACAGTTGTTAGCTGCCATGTGGGTGCTGGGAATTGAACCTGGGTCCTCTGGTAGAGCAGTTGGTGCTCTTAAGCACTGAGCCATCACCCCAGCCCCTCATCATGTATCTTTAGAAGTTTCTAAGCTGGGCTAGGAAGAGGTTAGTGTTCATGACCAGCCATCTAAAAACTGTAAGATTCCATGGAGGGAAGGTGGGTGGGTGTTCTCTGCCTCCAACTTCCTCCTCTGACTTGTGGTTCAGGGGCCCTTCAAGTTTCACCGGGGTAGCGTTTAGGGGGCTAGGTGCATGAGGCTATCTGGTTTAGGTAGTTGTAACAAGGTCTGCACTCTGTGGGATAGATGAAGCTCAGACATAATGCGCCGCTGTGGGTTCTTGTCCTCAGTAGTTCTCTGGCTGTCCCTGCACGCCAGCCAGCAATGCTTCTCAAGTCGTCTCCATATCTCCATTGTTCCTCACTATTAGCTTCTGCCTGTACACCACAGGCTTCCCTCCCTACTTTCAAACATAATCAAGGCCTTTCCCCCTTTCACTAGTGGGACCCCAAACCCCCGGTATCCTGAGACTAGTTGTGTGGCTAGGTAGGTGGAGCTCCACCCGCTGTTGGCAGTCAGAAGTTAGAGCTGCCTAGCCAGCCTTGACCACGCCCTTCAGCTAGTCCCAATCAGAAGCCTGTGCCTAGTTTCCAAGATCACCGCCCTGGCCCTCTTCCCAACCACGTCATTGTAGTTTCCTCCTCTCCTCCCCGGAGTCAAACCCCTGCCCCACGGTGGTCTCATCCTCTGTCGTGGCGCCTTGGCTTCCTGCGTGGCTCCTGTGGATCACCGAGCCACTCTAGTTTCGGCTCTCACCTCAGGCCAGTCTAGCCTCCTCGGTGCTTCTCCGGAAGCACCCGTGGCTTCCGCGGCCTCTTTCCTGCAGATGTCGGAGGGGCCGTTCTTCACCAGCCCTGGAGACATCTCACCTAGAACATCCAGAGCAAGAAGCCCAAGCCACGCCCCTCCCACAGGCCCCGCCCCCACGCTCTTCCCGCCCCCGCAGGCCCCGCCTCCTGGGAGCCTTGCGGTGTGGGGCGGCGTGCGCCCAACCACTGCGGTTGCGGTGCGACTGCCGTGCTCCCCGCGTGGATGCTCTGATTGGCCGCACTGGCATCGGCCCACCCAGCTGTTCCGGTCGGCCGAGGCTGGCGCCTGCGCAGTGCGCTAAGCTGTCAGTCAGGTAAGGCGCTAGCGAGCCGGCGGCGGCGGAGAGTGCGGTGCTGTCATGACTGAGGGCACGTGAGTCCCGGACCCTGGGCCTCCCGCGGGTGCTGCTGCGAGGGACGCGGCAGGGGGGGTGGCGGGGAAGGGGCCCGGGCGGCAGGGTGGCATGGCGGGTGGTCCTGCACGCCTGGGTTGCAGGCACCCCCACCTGGGCGGAGCCTAACGAACGCTGCGTACTGTCGCTTGGCCCGCTCAGGTGTCTGCGGCGTCGAGGGGGACCCTATAAAACCGAGCCGGCCACTGACCTCACCCGCTGGCGGCTCCGCAATGAGCTGGGTCGGCAGACGTGGACGTATTACCCAGCGGAGGACGACCCTGGTCGAGAGCAGACCGGGCTAGAAGCCCACTCCTTGGGACTGGACACAGTTAAGTGATGGGATTCCTCAGGTACCATTTCACCCGGTGCCTGGAAGGGACCACAGACCAGCCTCTGCCCTGCTTTTCCTGAGCCAGAGCCCTGAAACAGTAGACGGCCTTGTTCAAAAAGCGGGCATCTCGCCAGGAAACAAATGTACACGGGGTTGTGGTGTAACACAAAGAAAAGCTAAGTGTACGGGGATGAGGAAGGACTGAGGGCAGATAATGGATGTGAGTTATGGAAGAAGGTGTAAAGCCAGCTGTTTTTCTAGTTCTGATCCTGTCATGGGGTTTTTGTTTGGGGTGGTGGATTAATGCACACAATACATTGGTACTGAAGTATAGAATTTAAGGTTACGCGCTTCACAGCTTCCTTTTCAAACGCCAAGTTCATTAGAATAGACTTGGTGTCTGGTTAATTTTGGTGTGTGATGTTTTTATTTATTTGCAAGCTTATAATTTTTTATATAATAAATAAAGCTTATATTTTTAAAAAATAATAATAAAGCTTATAATTTTTTTTAAAAAGAGGTGTGAACCTGGACATGGGGCATCTCTGTAGTTCCAGCCACTCAGGAGGCTGTGGCAAGATCTAAGTTCGAGATATGCCCTGGCAACTTAGTTAGACCTTGTCTCCAAAAAAAAAAAAAAGCCAAGAAGCTGGGTGTGGAGGTGCAGGCCTTTAATCCCAGCACTCAGGAGGCAGAGGCAGGTAGGTCTCGGAGTTGGAGGCCAGCCTGGTTTTACACAGTAAGTCCTAGGCCAGACATGGCTACGTAGTGAGGCTCTATCTCAAAACAACAACGAACAAGCGAAGAAAAAGAAGCGGTGAGCAGCTCAGTGGTTGACTGTTTACCTAAGTTCAATCTCCAAAGCTGAAAACAACAACAACAAGTGTGGTACCGTGGGGGCCATGCCTCCTTCCAGAGACATGAATTACAGCAGCCCTGGTTGGTGCATCAGTCCCTTCATCCAAGAGACCCGTGGAAGAAGTTGCACCAATTTGCTTTTATTTTGAGTACTCTGCTTTGATAAAAATCTTTGATTTATAAGGGAATTACAAGGATGGGTGTGATTTTGTTTGTATTCATAAAGTACTTTGATCTGATGTTCTGGTTGTGTGCATCCATGCATCCATATCCATATGAAGTTCAGCTAGTCATAGACTAGTTAGCTACAGGCTTCCTGTGAGTCCTGACTGTCAGCAAACCTTCTCTGGGGATCCACTATGCTGTTGTGTGGGCCCTGCCTGAGAAAGGGAGAAAGTCCTCCCTCCCACCCCCAGTATCAGCTGGGCATCAGTGCCCTGCCCTATGTTAAGGTGTTTTGAAGCTTTGAAGAAATTTGTAGATCAGTAGCTGGAAAGTAAATTATGACAACATGTGAAATTGCTTTTTTTTTTTTTTTTTTTTTACTTTTCTGGGGTGATATTGTCATCAAAGACTCATTTCAGATTGAAACAGTTCAAAAATTTAAAGTAAATTTAGATTCGATATTTTTACTTGGATTGTGAGTGAGGAGGGTTCCAGGCAACCTCAACTCTCATTTTTTCTTTCCCTTTGCAGAAGAATTATTTCAAAGACTTACCTAAAGCTCAAACAGCCCATGAGGGGGCCCTGAATGGAGTAACATTTTATGCCAAGCTGCAGGCTGAGGATGGACACTGGGCGGGTGATTATGGCGGTCCACTCTTCCTCTTACCAGGTAGGAGCATGCCAACCAAACTCAAGGGGGAAGACTGTTCCAGATTGTTGGAGGGTGGGGTGGGGGGCTTGACCTACCCTGGTCAAGCAGGCTAGAACCCAGCAGCGCACTGGAAAAGCTCTGGGGGAAGGTGGCCTTGTATCCCAGTCATCCTGCTGCCAGGGTTAGGGAATGGTGTTAGCCCAGGGTAAACTGGTAAATACTCTAATAATGGAAGCTAGGAGGGGGGGATGGGTGCTCTTGAATCCCAGTGCAAGATGGCACTCTAGGTTTGGCCCAGCCAGTGCCAGGGTACTGTAGATAGGCAAGGTTATAGGTGAGAAGCTGGTATCCTTACGGGTGCAGTCTGAGCATTACAATATCGCTTGTGAACTTGCTGTACAAGGGTGACTGAGGGGGTTCTGGGGGGGTTCTGGGGGGGTTCTGGCAGGGAAACCACAGGTCCAGGTTGGTGAGTGGTAATGGGATTGCATTTGAACACACTGGTCTCTGATCTAGTTTGGATGTGTAAGACTTTTTGCATCCTGGTAATGTTTCTCTAAAGAAGCTCGTATTCATGCATCAAGACCCCTTTCCTCCTTGAGTTTTAACTCTTATCTCAGTAGCCTGAATTCTTACGAAAATATAGGTTTGCTTCTGTAGTAGCTGCCATATGATACCCTTCCTATGCCTTGCCGTGGGCGTATGATATGGAACTGCTCTGAGTGATGAAGATAGGAGCTGTACACCCAAAAACCAGGCTTGGAACGAAGGTTTCTTGTCTCATGTCGTCTCTCCCCATATACAGTAGCACATACGTGTAAAGAGTTTATAAAAAGAACAGTAAAACCTAAGCAATAACTATTATCCTGTCTAGGGTTGCCATTTTAGTATTTCAATCCTAAGCAGGTGTTAAAATAAGACCTGATCGTCCCCTGTGGTCCCATTGATCTTGAACTGCCTCTTCTTAGGCCTTCAGGGCACTTGTGGGAGGCCTCTTCAAGGCTCTGCAGTGTTTCTCTGACCCAGACTATGGTATGGGTGCCAGGCATAACCACTTGGGCTCTGCAGCCTTGGCCTGGGAGTGTTAACTGTATTCTTCCTGGTGTTTCCAAAGTCATTGGGCTTAGGAAGAATGGTGTTTGTGGGCTTGATTGCATGGGAAGGAAAGCCACAGGACAGCTATGTGTCAGGATTAAGGTCCTTAAGAAGAAGAGCTTGGTGGGCTGGAGAGATGGCTCAGAGGTTAAGAGCACCAACTGTTCTTCCAGAGGTCCTGAGTTCAATTTCCAGAAACCACATGGTGGCTCACAACCATCTGTAATGCGATCTGGCACCCTCTTCTGTATACATAATAAATAAATAAATAAATACCCCCCCAGAAACCACATGGTGGCTCACAACCATCTGTAATGCGATCTGGCACCCTCTTCTGTATACATAATAAATAAATAAACAAACAAACAAACAAACAAACAAAACAAAACAACAACAAAACCTGTCCTTAAAAAAAGAGAAGAGCTTGGGCTTAGCAGTGCTGAGCACCCGTTCCTAATATGGGACATCCTTCTCACCACCCAGGTCTCCTGATTACATGTCATGTGTCACATATCCCTTTGCCAGCTGGATACAGAGAGGAGATGGTACGGTACCTGCGATCAGTGCAGCTCCCCGATGGCGGCTGGGGCCTGTGAGTGTGCCCAACTGCACATTTGTACATGTGTGTGCTTGCATGTGTTGTTATGTAGCTCTTGCTTGGGTTTCCAGGCAGCTGTTGAGAAGTGGGATAACTGCAACCATGGACCTGGGGTAGGCTGGGAGAAAGCCTGGCAGAAGGAGAGCAGGCTGGTACCTATGTGAAGCCTGGCCATGGTTTTGCCTCTCATGCTGTGAATGCGTCTCATGGTTGGGAGCCTCTTGAGACTCACATGCCAAGTTAAAGCCACTGCATTTTTAAATTGTGGAGGCAGCAGAGATGGCAGCAAGTGTAGGGGGCCCCCACAGATCCATCTCAACCCGCTTTCCTGATGTACACACTCTGGGAGCAGAGGGGTAGGCAGACCCTGCCCAGCTGGTTTTGAAGCGATTGGATGTCTCCTGTTGGGTGGACTAAACTTTGCCTGGGTGTTCCTACAGCATGCTTCCTGTGTTGTCATGTCGATGGGAGGTATTACAGCAATCTTTTCTAGGCAGACTTCACTGCCAGGATGGTTTTATTTCGTAGAAATAGTGACAGATGACAAAAGCCCTTTTCCAACCAGTCTCATATTTCCATTAGGCATATTGAGGACAAGTCCTCAGTATTTGGGACCGCCCTGAACTATGTGGCTCTCAGAATCTTGGGTATTGGGCCTGATGATCCTGACCTTGTACGTGCGCGAAACATTCTTCACAAAAAAGGTAAATCCTGTATGATGTGTGGAGTTTGTGTCGTACTGACATAATGAGCTCTTGTAAATGGGAATCAGTAAGATGCACCACCAGTTGAAACACTGGGAAAAATACATGAGTACATGGAAACTGTTGAGCTGCTTAATAATTAACAATATTAATAATAGTGACTATTCATTTTAATTATTTTAAAAGACTTTTTTGTTTTGTTTTGTTTTTTGAGACTCTGTGCAGTCCTGGCTATCCTGGAACTCACTCTGTAGACCAGGCTGGCCTTGTACTCAGAGATCCACCTTCCTCTGCCTCCTGAATTAAAGGGGTGTGCCACCACTGCCAGGCTGGAGACTTATTATTTTTATGTATATGAGTGTTTTGCCTGCACGTATGTCTGTACACCACATGTATGGTATGCAGTGCCCATGAAGGCTAGAAGAGGGTGTCAGATCCTCTGGAATTGTAGTTACAGATACGGACCTTTGCTAGCCACCATGTGGGTTCTGATAACTGAACTCAGGTCCTCTGGCCAACTCTCCAGCCCTAATTTTATTATTTTTAATTAATTAATTTCTGTGTGTGTTTGTTTTTGTGAGATGTGTGTGTGTTTATGCCACAGTGCACATGTAGAGGTCAGAAGACAACTTTGTAGAGTTGTAACGGTAGCTAATTTTTCCTTTTCTCGTTCCAGGTGGTGCGGTGGCCATCCCCTCCTGGGGGAAGTTCTGGCTGGCCATCCTGAATGTTTATAGCTGGGAAGGACTCAATACCCTATTTCCTGAGATGTGGTATGCCTGCCCTCTGCCTGTTGTACTGCCTTCTAGTGGATGGATGGGACCTAATGGGGTGGGTTAGCCTCTCACTAGAGGCCCTTCATGTGCTCTACAGATATATAGAAGGGGACTCTCTGTTAGGTAAGAGCAAACTGTCAAACCACCTAGCTCTGTAGCAGACCCTGGGGCCCTGTAGGGTGCTTACAGAGGCCATTGTGTGGCTTGGGCTTTGTGAGGATAGACAACAGAGCAAACCTGGCAATTACAAAACCTTGTGTATTTAGGAGTAAAGGAAAGAGCCTCTCCCATCCCCGTATCTTGTTTTCTTAACTGATTTGTGGTGAATGTTTAGGAAGTCCTAGGTTAATCATTTCACCAATGAAGACTTCCATGTGCATCTTTAAATTTTGTTTTGTTTTGTTTTTGTCTTCAATATTTACTCAGCAGAATCAATGCCTATGCCTTACTAACTGAAACCTATGGTCAGTGTCTTTATCTTTTTTTTTTTTTTTTTTTTTTTTGGTTTTTCGAGACAGGGTTTCTCTGTGTAGCTTTGCGCCTTTCCTGGAACTCACTTGGTAGCCCAGGCTGGCCTCGAACTCACAGAGATCCGCCTGGCTCTGCCTCCCGAGTGCTGGGATTAAAGGCGTGCGCCACCACCGCCCGGCTCTTTTTTTTTTTTAATATCTTATAAAAGCGTTGGCCCCATATGTAGTGCATATATAAATTTACCCCCAGATTACACGTTCTGGTCGGTAAGCTCTCCAGAACTATCCAGAGTTCAGAAGAGCCTGCTATCCTCCTGAAGACAGAGTTGAGGGTTCCTGTAGTAGGTAACTTTCATATGCAGAAAGATAGGATGTGAGGGGCCACTTGAAAGAGGACAACAGAGTCCTGAAACAAGGACTGAAAGGCTTTGCTCTACACCTGGTTGAGTGGGGATAAGTGGAAGATGTGGCAAACGCCTGAACCAGTGAGGGGTGTGGAGAGAGCGGTCCATGTGTGGGGCAGGGTGGGTGTACTGTTACTTGAAGTAAGGAGGTATACTAGAATTGTGCTGTCATCCAATGGCCCATCATTGGCAGCTCTACTGGCTAGATGCTAGACTTGCCTGGGGAGATGCAGGCAGAGGAAGGCTTTGCCGGGGTAGAGTAGGTTGCTCAAGCTGGACTGGAGAGGCTTCTGGTCCATGTCCCTACATTGTAGGGCTCCACACATGACTCCACATATGTGGAACACAAGCTCCACAGTCATGTGGCATTAGAATGCGGAATGCAAGTGTGCACAAACATGGATGAATGCACTCATAGCAGCATGAGTGTCCATGCTTGGGAGGGCCCAAGGCCTCAGGGATGTTAGCATGTAGGCTTATGTCCTCTGTCCTGCTGACACATGCTCTCCTCTAGGTTGTTTCCTGAGTGGGTACCTGCCCACCCCTCCACCCTCTGGTGTCACTGTCGGCAGGTCTATCTGCCCATGAGCTACTGCTATGCCACTCGGCTGAGTGCCTTAGAGGACCCACTGGTTCAGAGCCTCCGCCAGGTAAGCCTTATGATCGATCTCTAGGGACCTTGTAAGGAAACGGCACATAGTCTCTGGAGCTTAAATGCATCTCGGTACTCTAGGGTCCTGAGGAGTCCCTGCCTTCTCTCCTGTAAACAAATGATAAACTGCTCATGGGGACCTGGAAGGTGTCTGCCATTGTTCAGTGTCCCAGTGCGGCTTGGAGAGTTCACAAGCTGCAGTCTTAACCTATGCTTGCAGTTTTTGTTCCTGGGAAAGAGCCCTGAGGTGGACTTTGGAACAGGGTTTGCACTAGAGTGGGACTTAGGCCCTTAGGGCTGGGACAGCGCCTCAGATTAGCTGTGGTGTAGCTGGAGTAACTGGGACTCACACCCTATAGTGGTGGTTCATTGGGTGTCTCCACCCCTGAGAAAGGCTGTGACCCAGAACCCTGAGAATGTACAGCTAGAGACCACTCCTGGTTAGAGCCCATCCATCTTCCGTGTCTGGGAGGCAAGCCTGTTGCTTCTGCTAGGCACTCAGGTATCCCCCTGCCCTTTAGGAGCTCTATGTGGAGGATTATGCCAGCATCGATTGGCCAGCACAGAGGAACAACGTGTGCCCCGATGAGCTGTACACGCCACACAGTTGGCTGCTGCATGTGGTGTATGGTGGGTGCCTGCTGAGGGCTGGGGGAGCCTGGGGAGCACACAGTTAACTCATTCATTCTGGCTCACTCTGTCAACGCAATAAATGGCCTCTGTGCTGTGCCCTGGAGTGGGAGCTGGAAAGACATAACCTTGCTCTGGTCCCCCAGCGAGGACCAGCTACTGTTAGGTGATACCCCCTCACCTAGAGTCACCTAGGTAGGGCAGGGCAGGGTCACGGTGGGAGGTGTGAAGTAGCCCTTCCTAGATGGGAAGGGGGAAGCACAGATGAAGCAGAGTGAGTGGGAGGAGGGATCTCAGGGGAAACGAGAGGCCAGATGCTGGACTGTGCAGGACCCACTCCTGCTTGAAGGACTAGGACACAGCCTATCCAGGAATGCCAGGTGTCACTGTCACTCCTGTTGCTGAGCATCCATTAATGCCTTCTCCCCTGCAGGGATCCTCAACCTGTATGAACGTTTCCACAGTACCAGCCTGCGGCAGCGGGCCATCAAAATGCTGTATGAACATATTGCCGCCGATGACCGGTTCACTAAGAGCATCAGCATTGGCCCGGTCAGTGCCCCGACCCCCTAGTGCCTGGAGCAGCTTTGGTGGCAGTGAGGTCTTGTCAGATGCCCTAGGAGCTGGCCTCTATAGAGTTAGGAATGAGGCAGGCTTATTTCCTAGATCCTGGCACATCTCTGTTTGGGTCAGTGTATTGGAAGCATGACATATATTCATTTTCTGGGCTCCTGTTCTCCTGCCTGGCTCGTGTCTAAGACTCTGAGTACCTCCTGGAAGACTGCTTCCTGAGCTTTCTGGCCAACTGGGTGGGGTGTGTTTTTTCCCCTTGCTCCCTCACAGATCCCACCCTAGATAATCCACCTTACACCCCTTCTGTAAGGTTTATAGGTGCCTAGGGGTGCAATGAAAACAGCAGGGTCCTCATGTTCTACTTCTGGTCTCTCCCATCCGGCTGGAGAATGCCAGGCCTCTAGTTTCTGATTTTGCTTTGCTTCCTGGGCCTGGCCAATTGTGCATGTGCTTTGCTTTGGGACCTTAAGGAGCACAGGCCTGAGGCTGGATAGTCAGCACATACTGGCTAGAGCTAGTAGAGACCCAACAAGGAATCTGTCCTCACAGATGGGAAACAATCAGGATGTGGGTTGTAATATTGGTGATGATACTGTGGTGGGTTGACCATGGGTTCTCTGGATAAACCGAGCTTCTTTCTTCCTCTCTGTGGACTTTCGGTCCTTCTTAGTCACACCTTAAGCTGGCCCAGAATCTTGAATGACATTACCTTCAGTTTGAATCTGGGGACGTGAATGTATAGAAAACACTTAGGAAGCTCCTTTTAGAACAGATAGGACCCTGCCCCAGAGTGAATTTGCATGGGTCCTGATGGCCACGTATCCTGCAGATCTCAAAAACCATCAACATGCTTGTTCGCTGGTCAGTGGATGGGCCGTCCTCCTCTGCCTTCCAGGAGCACGTCTCTAGGATCCCAGATTACGTTTGGTGAGTGTGACTGGGATGTGGTGCCAAGTGCTGACCATAGACATGCAGCTATAATGCTGGGCCCCTGTGCCTCATCTAGTTAGGGGTACCAGGGTGTCAAACTCCTGAGAATATTTTACAGAATCAGAAGCACTGCCAATTAGATTGTCTTTGGGAAGATTTTTTTTTTTTTTTGGTCTAGCAGTAGCTATGGGTTATTCCAAGAGCCAGGAAGCCTGGAACAGTCTTAGATTGTTGTGAAGGCCGGTGGAAAAGAGGCTTGTCATCCCTGGACTGTGCCCAAGGTGGGGACTGTCACAGAGACCATAGCAGGAAACCATGTGCTCATAAAGGCCGTCTTCTCTCTGGCGGTGTGGTGTGAGATGAGGATAGCAAAGCAGACCTGGCTGTAGACGCTTCTGCTTACCCTGGCACGGGCCAGTGCCCCCTGGGTAGGCCACCGTCTTGTTCCTGCTGGGTGTAGGCCTTGTGCTTGTGAACCCAGCTGCACAACACTGAAGTCAGCGTGGGGGCAGCGGGTTGTGGGGGCGGCGGGTTATGGGGGCGGCGGGTTATGGGGGCGGCGGGTTATGGGGGCTCCCAGCGGAGATCCGTGTGCTCTTGCTTGTGTGTATCTCCTGATGGACAGCTAGAATTCCAGCTGTCACATGGTCCCTGACATCATCTTTTCTTATCCCCCGTAGGCTGGGCCTTGATGGCATGAAAATGCAGGTAAGGGCTGGAGAGCTGAGGCTGCTGGCTCTCTTTGTAACCCTCTCTATTTATTATGATTCAAAAGTGACAGTCAGGCATGGTGGTGGCACTTGCTTGTCGTACCGCCACTCAGTTGGTTAAAGCACAAGGATTGAGTTTGGGGCCAGACAGTGCGGTACAGCAAGACCCTGTTTCTGAATTTAAAAAAGCGTGGGGGGTAGGCAGGGTTGAGAAACCATCTTCAGTACAGTTCTTGTGATAAAAAGAGAAAGACAGAACCCCCCTTTAGCCCTCATGTCTGTGGGGCTTTGAGTACCTCCTGGTCTCTGGTTGCTGTATGTTCTCACATCTGTAGTCTTTCATCAGGGTGGACGAAACTATGACAGATCCAGGCTTGGCTCAGACCTTCCAGAAACCTTCATCCTGTTACTGTGATAGAAAAATGGCTCTGGGTTGTCATGGGCCTCTCTGTGAGGCCGTCTGGAGGCTCCTCTGGCAGGTCTCTGGGAGCTGTGTGTTCTCAGCTCATAGGATAACCCTAGAGATTGCCCTCTGTAGCCACAAGTACAGGAGGAGCCTCCAGGTCAGAGGGGTGTGCCCAGGCCTAAAAATTGATCCTTTCTTTGGTACCTAGTGGTAAAGGAGGGCATATCTGTAGTTTTTCAGAGTAAAGAGGAAGTGGTTTGCTAGGGATAGCACATGATGTATGGCCATCTTTTGCCTAGATCCTTCTAGGGCTCTGGCCAAAGGGTAGTCAGTGAAAATGCTTCTCTCTGGTCAGGTGTTTTGCTGGGATCTTTGGCCTCCAAGGAGCTATGAGAGAGCTTAGGGTCTGTGATTACCCTGTAGTGTTGAGAGCTGGAGTTTCTATCAAATATTTAGAGATTCTTGGACAAAACCCACTGTGGATTTGATCATCCATTTCCTGCACTGAGACCCAAGAGTGTTGTCCAGAAAACCAGGGTTCTGGGTGGGATTTGAAGTGGACCTTCCTTTCTCTGTCGGGGCCACAGTGATGTATCAGCTGGGTCCCTGCCACCTCGGGCATACTTGGAAATGGAGGGGCTTTGTTTCTGCTTGTCCCATGACTGGGGTACCCTGCTGTCATGGGGTGTTGAGGAGCCTTCAAGGGATCACATGATCCTGGCTATGTCCTGAGAAAGTGCTGTTCTGCTGGGGCCTTCTCTGTTACCCACGTCTGCCTGCGAGGTTTCGGGTTCTCTCTGACCTCTGTCCACTGCTACAGTGCACAGTGCTCAGACTCCAGGATAGGGCATTAACTGGGTACTTCCCTGACACCCTCGGATTCTAGGAGTCAGTGGATGGGGTTGCTATAACAGCTTGTTCTTTGTGTCCAGGGCACCAATGGATCACAGATCTGGGACACCTCATTTGCTATCCAAGCACTGTTGGAGGTACGTGGCTCTATTTCTTTGTGCAGGCCCCATCTGATCTTCCTCTGTGTGTGAGCCGCGCATTCACCCTGAGAAAAACGATGCTGCTCTCCATGTCTTCTGTCCCCGGAGCTTCCCATTTGCCTGGTTTCCAATCCCCTGTTGATGTGGAACCTGGACACTAAACTGGAGTAGGGCTTTGGGAAATAAACCTAGGGAGAGAGTGAGCAGGGTGGTACCTGGGCTGGCTGCGCTTGAGGCTCTTAGAACATTAGCTGCTACTTGAGCTAGAGGGGAAGAGTGTTTCTCTGCAGGTGGGAATGAGAGCAGTGAAATCCTGAGGGTGTCTTTGGACAACCCAGGGCCTCGGCCAAGTTGGGCTGCCTAAGGTGAGGCCTGATAGAACAGGTGGAACTTTGGTAACTATCCAGGGCGGTCTCTTCTGTCCATTCTAGTGTTTAGCTCTGCCTCACTGTCTTTCTGTCTGTCTTTAAAGCTGAGAACATCAGGAAACCCTAGAAAACTCTAAGGTGTGTCATTTTCTGGGGGGTGGCGGGGGGCAGCAAGATGTTGCCAGGACATTGGAGAACCAACTTAACAATGCTTTCCTACTGTCTTCTAGGCAGGTGCACACCACAGACCTGAATTTTTACCCTGCCTGCAGAAGGCTCATGAATTCTTGCGGCTTTCACAGGTGAGGCTTATGCCCCTCTGCATCTGTCCTGCACCCTCGCCCCTCAGCTGGCTTTCTTGGTTGGTTCTGCCCTGCCTTGCACCATGTTGGTGCTCTGACTGTGGCCTGTGGTAGCCCATCACCAGCCAGTGATTTCTGTTCTTCATACTGAAACATGTGTGCAGAGGGGCAAAGCCAGCCTAGGGCACAGTCAGGAGTTGTGTCCTTGAGCACCACAGCCTGCTCACATCCTAGCCATCTTTGAGGTGCCTTGGGCCAGTAGAATTTCTTCACCCTAGCCTGTGGCCACCTTCTGAGACTGTACAGCCATCTGTCCTGCCAGATCAGTGTCTCTCATTCCTGCCTTCTGTATCCACCTATGGCCCCCATCATGTACTGCTTTTTTTAGGCTGTCCTTGCATGCCCTGCTTCAGACACAGTGGATGCCTCCAGCCTTGATCCCACTGGCCTCCTCCTGCTTAGAGTCCTCATGCCCCTAACTCCCTGTCCTCTGAACCCACTAGGATGCAGCTTCCTTAGGATCCTCTGTGTAGCTGATGTCCATGTCTGTTTAGGGCTGTTAGGGAGTGAGTCAGCAGTGTCTTCCACAGCAGGGTCTGATCCAGGTCCTACATTGAATGATGCGTCTTTAGCCTGTCTGAATGGGCCCTACTGCACATACAGAACTGTTTACTTTCTCATTGAGCTGAGTCCTGCAGCTCAGCAGTAGTGAGTAGTCCCTGAGCCCACGAAGCTGGGCACGAGAGTGGATTGTTTAACCCTCTCTGGATGATCTTATTTCCTAGTAGTGATAAGGTGATGGTCTCATGGGTGCCATGCTACACTGACTTAGGCTAGCAGTAGATTCAGCTCCCAGATGGCAGCACAGGGTCCCAGGTGCCAACATGTTTCTGCTTTCCACATATGCTCCTTGCTGCTCTCCAGGTCCCAGACAACCTTCCTGACTATCAGAAGTATTACCGCCAGATGCGCAAGGTATGTGTGGGCAACCCACCCAAGCCCAAGCTCAGCTCTCTTCCCTCTGAGGAGGTCTTTCTGGCTTTTTGCTGTGCAGATGCCTCACGGTATGGGCTTCATCATCCCTTGAGACAGACTATGCCTCTGTGGCCATGCCTCAGGATAGTTCAGTTATCTAGCTCACAGAGATGCTGAGCACAGAGCTGAACAGTGAGCTGGAGTGTTGAAATCAAGGCAGAGGGTATAAAGGACTCATTATTAACCAGCATTAACCTCCTTTGCTGTAAGGGCTTGCTTATAGGTGCAGGCTGTGAAATGAGACATTGACACAGCTGCTTCCTTCCATAGTGGGGTCCATAGGGCACCTGTGCTGCTGTTTAGGTCCCAGATCACTGCTGAGATTTGAGGGCAGTCAGGATGGGCATGAAGTCCTAGACAGTCCCTGTGCTGCAGCTCAAGTCTATGGAACTGTGCAGGGGAGGAGCACTCTTACACTCTGTCTCTGTAGGGTGGTTTCAGCTTCAGCACACTGGACTGTGGCTGGATCGTTGCTGATTGCACAGCTGAGGCTTTGAAGTCTGTGCTACTCCTGCAGAAGCAGTGCCCCTCCATCGCTGATCACATCCCCCGAGAGCGGCTCTGTGATGCTGTGGCTGTGGTGAGTATCCTACTTTGTGTTTACTTCCACTTCTATGGTTCTGTCTTAGCAGACTTAGGTTAGGGTGTAGGAGCATCAGAATCTAAGACTGTGAACCCTGGGATAGAGCCAGGGTTAGACATTGGCCTGGTATGTGCGTAGGGCTCGGTACTATAAGAGATGGTGCCCAGCCAGTCCCAGAAGTTACAAGGAGGCTGTATGCTCCCTGGGGCTTTTCTTCCTGGCTTTAGAGCTCAAGGAACTTCCCACATCTGTGCTGAGGTTTCTGCAGGTCTCATTTGGGAGGGCTGGTAGACTTTGCTGGATATCTGAAGGAAAGTTGGAAATGTCTGTTCACTTTTGTGCAAAGTCCTTTTAGCACCTCTGCTTCTTGTGTATGTTCTACTATGGAGATGTGCATTTTCTTGACATTGGAATATGTCTCCAGATGTTGTGCCATAGCAGCTGCATTGAGTACCTAAGGGCTCAGCATGAAAACTGGCTTTTTATCCCTCATTCCTGTCCTGTTGGTTGTCAGTCCTGTGGTGCTTTGGGAAGGTCATACTGTAAGTTGTGTGCTCAGTTCTCAGGTCATTCCCCTCTTGTTACATTCCCCTCTAGTTGTTGGAGATGAGGAATTCTGATGGAGGATTTGCTACCTACGAGACCAAGCGTGGGGGGCATTTGCTGGAGTTGCTGAACCCCTCAGAGGTCTTCGGTGAGTGGTTGACTAGCAGTTTAGTGTATAGGCCAGGCCTGGCATGCTGGCAGGTCTATGTAGAGCCCTCTGTGAGCCTCAGAGTATGGAGTACCTGTATCTTGATGAATGACTGCGGTTCTGTCTCAGGCCGTGGAGACTGTAAGCTGGGTTTACACTCTCCTGCTTATTCACAGGGCCTTGTGCTGTGTGGAGGCTGCCATGTGCCTTTCATATGCTCAGTGACTCCCAGCACTTGTAAGGACCTCTGTCAAGGGCTGCTGGGTCATGGCTGTGCATTGTCACTGAGGTTCTAGTCTGTCAGGTCAGGTTCTTTCCTCACTGGTTCTGGTACCTGCTCTCCCCTTCCTTCATGGCTTCTAATTATCCTATTCTTTGGCCTGTCAAACATGTTTTTTGGGTGGTGGTGGCAGTAGTAGCCTGGCTGTTTTGTGTGTGTCTTGTAGCATAGGTGTGTAGTCCCACTCTGCTCACTGTAGCCACATTGCCCAGGTTGATCTTGGGATAACATTCAGATGTTAGTACTGCATGCTTCTACACTCCTGCTCACCACGTTCTGGCCTGAACTATAGACCCTGGCCCATAGTAGAGCTCAGGTGCCTCCTTCTTTCCCTTTCTAGGAGACATCATGATCGACTACACATATGTAGAGTGTACCTCCGCAGTGATGCAGGCTCTGAAGCATTTCCATGAATACTGTCCAGACCATAGGGCCCCAGAGATCAGGTAAGGAAGGTGAGGCCAGGACTGAGCAGGGGGGTCACAGCTCAGCCATAGCATTCTCTGACAGTAGACCTTGGCTTCCCACAAGGGAAGTGTGTGTGAGTGTGGTGTGTGTGTGTGTGTGTGCGCACTCTGGTCTGGGGAAGACAGTACAACTGTAACACAAGAATGGGTTATTTTTCCTATCTTCTTGAACATCTTCTAAAATGAGCATTCATGTCTAACTCTGCCATCAGTGTCCAGTTAAATAGCTGCTAAGTGTTCTTCACCTTGTTTGTGATGGTTCTTGAGTCTTGGAGAGGTTGGTGTAGCTGTTCATTTCTCCCCATCTATGGTTGAATATTGGACCATTATGACATAGCAACAATTAGTTTGTTTCAGGAGCATGACTATGAGTCTTGGTGGTATACCTCTCATTATTAAAGTTTCCTTCCATGATAATGAAGACTGAGGGCAGCAGTAATGTAAGGGTGTAAACACAAATTTAGAAGGCAATTTGATAGGCATATCATATCCATTTAATAAAACAATAGCAATAGCTTCCTCATTTGGGCCTATGATTTCCCTAGCCATGAGCTTTGAGAATATCACATGTGAGTTTCCTTCTGTAGAGGGAACCTTACATCACACAGAAAGCAGTAAAGAAATTAGTTGCTTTCTATGGCTGAAACATCATGACCAAGGCAACTTATAAAAGAAAGAGTTTAATTGGTCTTACAGTCCCCAAGGGTGAGACAGAGGAATTGCACTGATGTCTCATGGGGGCAAATGAGATCAGTCTGAATGCTATTAACTAAGCCATCTCTCCCAGCTTACTCTTTCTTTACGTGTATTGTCTTATCATTTGTTTTTTGTAAACTGTCTCAATGCTAGGTAGGAGTGGGCTAATTCTCTAGGAGCTGTTAGGCAAGCCCCTCAAACCACAAGGCTATCGCCACTGTTGTTGGCTGCAAAACAAGATAGTCCTTAGTGTTAAAGACACCATATACTTTGGCAAAATTAGGCTAAGACAAAAGTAGAAAATCCTTCCCTGCTAGCTGGCTTTCATAATACTGGAAGGTGGCACGCAGGCTGTTGTTGTTGTTTTTTAATCTAGTTCATTTTATATGATTTGTTCAGGCCCATGACACTAGTGTTATTTTATTGTCAGTGGCTTTGATAGTTTTTCAGAGCTACTTCCAATGTGGTCTTCACCTCCAAAGTCTGTTTTCCTTTCTGTTTCCTCTGAACTTTGACAGGCTGTTTGCCCCTTCTGTGTCCTATAGATTTATATATATTTTTCCTCTTTGAACATTTGTTTTGATCTGTTTGAAGGGGGGGCCATTCTCACTTTTCTGAGACCATTGTGTGGTCAAGGCTGGGGAAGGCATTTTGTCTGCAGTGTTCACTGGGTTAACTACCCGTGTTGCAGGGAGACCCTCAAGCAAGGCCTGGAGTTCTGCCGGAAGAAGCAGAGATCTGATGGCTCCTGGGAGGGGTGAGTAGGCACCTGGGCTCACCTGCAGAGGGGTTGGTGGGAGGTGATAACATGCACATGGGATTGGGAGTCTGCCCTTGCTACCTGCTTCCTGGGGGCTCAGGAAGTACTTCCTGGTTGGTCATGTTCCTTGGCTGATGCTTGCTCTTCCCTCATGCTGAGAGCTTGTGTTGTAGGGAGCAGTTGGGTTACATACGGAAAGGGCTCTGCGGCCTAAATGTGGTTTTCCGCCCTCTTGTGTGCATCAGCAGTTCTTTTGTGTCTTGCGTGGAGGAAGCAGTGGCTGAGCCAGGTGAACAGTGCCACTTTAAGCAGTGTTCACATTTGCACTGTCTGGGGTGTATGTGAACGCTGCTTTTAGCAACTGCCAACATCCCTTCCCCCGCTTTGCTTCCCCTCCTCAGCACTCCGGCCTCTTCTCTCTGTCTCTTACTTTGTCTTTGGTTTTGTGAGACAGGATCTTGCTGTGTATTTCAGGCTGCCTTTAATTAGCAATCCCCTGTCTTAGCCCGGTGCTGGGAATGCAGGGATGCACCACCATGCTCCGTCCCAGTTCTGCCCTCCCTTCTTGAGGTTGTCGCAGTACCCGGGTGGAGTACCTGTCCTCTCACTTGGCATGCAGACCGAGGCTGACCTTCTTCTCTTTTGCCTCCCTCTAGCTCCTGGGGAGTTTGTTTCACCTATGGCACCTGGTTTGGCCTGGAAGCTTTCGCTTGCATGGGGCACACCTACCGAGATGGGTGAGTGTAGCTTCCAGGCTGATGTCAAGTGAGGGCCTTCCTTGCCACGACAATTGTTTGGGCCAGTTTTTCCATTGCTGTGTTGAAACACTGACCAAGAGCACCTTGGGGAAGGAAGGGTTTACGTTAGGCTTGTCCTTCTAGGTCATAGTCCATCACTGGGGGATGTTAGGGCAGGAACTGAAACTCAGTCGGCTTTCTTACACAGTGGGCTGGACCTTCCCACGTTCTTTAGTTGGTGATCTCTCTTCCCAGGTGACTCTGGGTTAAGTTGACAGTAAACCAGGTCAGTAATGCTCTGCCATGTGTTTTTTTCCCTTTGATATTTGATTTTATTTGTTTAATATCTTTAAACAATGAGGTAAGATCACTGATAAAAAGGGAATTCTAAGGACATATTTTCTTGGCTCATAAGCCTTGGCTAGGCATTACTTCAGAGTCTTAGAAATCTCTGTTTCTCATCCTGAGTGAGAAAGGACTGGGGTCTAGACCAGGAAAGGAGGGCTTGCTTCAGGCCCTGTCTGGCTGCCTAGCCAGTGCTTCTAGATCTAGTGGGTTTTGGGAGTAGGGATGTTGTACTAAGCAAGATGCAATCCAGGGATCCTGGGTCTGTTTCCATGTGCCCACATCGTCAGCCTGCATGTGTCTGTAGCTGCAGAGTATTTTTCTCTGTGCCCAGTAGCTCTGTGAGACATGTGCACCTGTATCCACTCACCTCTGCAGGCCCCTCCCATGACCCAAAGGCAGCCTGTCAGAGTAGGATATAGAGGCCTTAGATCCTCCCAGGACATGATGTCTCAAGTGTCTTGTCTTGCTCTCTACAGGACTGCTTGTGCAGAAGTGTCTCAGGCCTGCAACTTCCTTCTGTCCCGGCAGATGGCAGATGGAGGTTGGGGGGAAGACTTTGAGTCCTGTGAACAACGGCGTTATGTGCAGAGTGCCAGGTCCCAGGTCCACAGTACATGCTGGGCCCTGATGGGCTTGATGGCTGTCAGGTAAGGGCAATGGCACCCATCCTCGGGCCTGTATACTAGGTCGCTCAACTTTGAGGAGGTGGGACCGGGTACGTACAGATGTGGGGAGAGGTGAAAGGAGCCACGGGACTGAGCCATTCTTCCTCTGTAACTGTGGATAGAGGCAGCCTCAGAAACCACCTACCCTATTCCTAGGTAGAGAGACTTACCTCTTAGACATGGTCTGTCTGTCCATTGGTAGTCAGTACCCGTTGGCAGAGCAAGAGAAGCAGGGGTCCAAGGCAAACAGATGAGTGATATGGGCTGTGGTGGGGAAGCTGCTTTCCAGGGTGGAGAGAAAGTGCTGCCTCAGGATCAAGAGCACAAGACTGTAGCTGCTTTTGGTCCTCTTGTGTCCATAGCTTGTACTGAGCTACATGTACTACACTAGTGAACACAGGTATACACATGTATGTGTATGCACTTGTAGGTGCATATATATATGTTTAGGGATATGCATGTTCGTGTTCACAGAGGCATAGGTATACGTGTGCACGCGCACACACACACACACACACACACACACACACACACACACACACTCGCACACGCACACATTTGTATGTGTTGTCTTAGCCTGTGTTGCCACAGTATACTTGAAACCACTTGGAGATCTTCCTAAAATCCCCTTAGTCGGCGTATACAGGGACCCCAAGAGCAGGGTAGTCATCGGTCTGTCCCGAGTCAGCCCCCCACTGCTGGCCTTGCTCTGTCAAACCCTTAGTCCTTTTGGTGTCTCGCTCTTGCCAGCCAGTGCATCGGAGCACATAGCTTCTGTGGTTTCCAGGGAGCAGAGTAGGCACCAGACCTCTCGTTGGGAATCTTATCAGCACCTTGTGCCAGCCATGTCACCTTGTCAACCATGTCCTCTAGGGATAGAATCAAGTGTACAGGAAGTGTATGCCCCACCTGACCATCCCCATGCTTGTCCATACTCTGCTTCTCGGGGCTCCTGGAAAGACTGCAGTGGGAGTCTCGAGTATTCTGGTTGTTAAGGTTTACCTGTCATTGCCACAGTATTTGGGGATTTTTGTCCTTCTCCTGAGATGCATGTTTGTTCAAGCCTGTCTTCTTGTCCCTCAGGCATCCCGACATCAGTGCTCAGGAGAGAGGAATCAGATGTCTGCTGGAGAAACAGCTCTCCAATGGAGACTGGCCTCAGGTGTGTGAGGGCCAGGGGATAGTGGTTCCCGCATGGATTTCCAACTTGCCCGTTAGTTTTCACACACTTTCCTTTGCCCATGTTCCACTCAGGGTGCTTTGGAGATCTGGGATATGGACACTGTCAGCCAGAGGCTTGCCATGGTTGTAGAGCTAAGATGTGTTGCTGGGTCTTAAAGTGTTGAGCACATTTTGCTATTTGTAAAGGGACTGGTTGGGGGAAAGGGCTGGATAGCTGGGGTTTTCTGCAGAACCTTGGCTTTACCATAGTACATGTTGTGTGTGGTTCTTCACTGACAAGACGTGCGGATGGGTTTCCATCTGTCCCTGTGGTTACGATGACTGTTCGAGACTACTGTTCCAAGGAAGAGTGTTTTCTTCAGCTCTAGTCTCTGAGCGGGGACCTGCGCTTCCCTGTCTTTGGCTCATCAGCTCTCCCCAAGCAGCCTTGCTCTGGGGCTGGGAAGTTCAATAGTCAGGACCACCATGTGGGGACAAGCTCCTTAACTGCTCTTTCTTCTGTGTTCTTCCAGGAGAACATCTCTGGGGTCTTCAACAAATCCTGTGCCATCAGCTACACAAGTTATAGGAACATCTTCCCCATCTGGGCCCTGGGCCGCTTCTCCAACCTGTACCCTGACAATGCCCTTGCCGGCCGCCTTTGAACTCATGTCTGCCTGTGCTGCAGCTGGCCAGCATCATCACCATACAGGTCCAGGCAAGACTGGGGGTTCTTAGCCCCAATCTCGGCCTTGTTCTCTATTTCTGTAGACCTGAGGCTGGGACTAGGGTCAGGGTTGGTATCTTTAGGCACTTGTCAGTATAGGCTTAGTTCCAAGACTAGCTTCAGCGAGAAAGGGAACCAGATAAACCTTGAAATCCAGAGAGGCACACTGCACTCTGTAGCTCCTGGGTACATCCTTCTTGAGGGACTGAGGCTGGAGAGTTTTCGTGTCCAGTGACTTCCCTGTGAGGGGAGCAGTGGCTTCTTCCTCTCCTCCTTTGTCCACTGTGTAACGGGCCTCTGACCAGACTTCTGTTTGCTGGGCTGGCGGAGGTATGGCGACTCTATGGTGCTGGTATGTTCAGAGAAAGGCTCAATGGGGAGTGAGGTGGGGCCCTTGTTCACTGTGCCCTGAGCATGGCTGTTACCTGATCACTGTATGAAATGCCTGTTTTCCAGAAAGGAAATACAGACTTGCTTTATACTAAAACTGTCACTAAAAGTCATTTAAATGATCACCGACTCCCTTAATAAACAGACATTTTGGGGCTAGAACAGTGGCCCAGCAGTAAAAACATGGACTGCTCTTTCAGAGAACCTGGGTTTGATTCCCAGCACCCACTTGGTGGCTAACAACCTTCTATAACTCCAGTTCCCAGGGGACCCAATGCCTTCTTCTGGCCTCTGTGGGCGCTGCATACATGTTGCATAAACATACATGCAGGAACAACACTCATAAACACAAAATAAACATAAATCTCTAAAATAAACTATTAAAAACAAAACCCCCAGGCATTTCATCCTGGGGTGTCCTGCGGCTGTGTGGCAAGGAGCCAGATGCAGCGTCCGATTCTGCCCCTAGATTGTGAGCCCGTACACATTGCACTGGTTTCTGGGATATCGGCATCCTGGTCTCCTGTCATCTTGTTGAGATAGAGAGGCACACGTGGGAAGCCACACATTTTAGGGGTGAGCTCTCAGTGCCTGATTTCTAACTCTGTGTCTGTCCAACATGCAGGCGGAGTTCGGGGCTGATAAAGTAGTAGTTTCTCCTTGAAGTTACTGCTTTTCTTCCTGGCCATGGTGAGCAGGGTCCAGCCTGGTGCCTTCTCAGTCTCATGCTCCCTATCTCTCTTACATTCTGGACTGGTGGTAACACCAACTTCTCCCTGGCCCGCGGTCTTCCCTCAGATAAACGGAGAGCTGTGTCTGATCCCCTTTCCCTGCGCAGGACCCTCTAGGCCTGCCTTCTGCCATGGTGCAGATTCCCTGAGGCTTTGTCATCGGCTGCCTGCCCACCTCCCACCACTGTCACCTTGTGCCGTGACCCCCAGGGCTCCCCTCCCTTAGATCGTAACCTGTGCTATAACACACAGTTCTTAGCCTCTGCCAGTAGCAGAGCAGATAGATGGGGAATTACTAGGTCTGACCCTAGCAGCAGCAACTGGCCCTTAGAATTCCCAGTCAGGACCAGATCACTATAGAAAATACACTGACACTTACAGGGCCAGTTCCCTTAGTAAACAGACTTCTGATAACACATGCTTTAGACTGTAGTGTGTCATTCTTATTTTGTTTTGTCCTGCAGACCAGTCATGCTGTAGAGCTGTCAGTGTGCAGGATTACCAGTCCCAGTTCAGAGAGTTCCCCAGGCTCACCAGATAACGGTCCAGAAGAAGCCCTTAAAGATCCTTGAAATGAAAGTTTTAGCTTGTAAGGAACAAATTTAGAATGTGCTGCAAGCTTTTCCTGTGGAGTCGTAGTAGATTTCCGGTATTCGCCGAGATGTGAACCTCAACACTCTTTTTTGAGGGGTTCTTTAGTAGGAAATGTTGACACTTTTTCCCTCATGAAACGATTTTATATGTGGTACTCACTATGACATGATACTCACTATGTAGTCCAGAATGGCCCCAAGCTGGAGGGCCATCCTGCCTCCATCTCCTGAGGATTGGGTTATAGGCATTGCTACCATGCCCTGCTGAAGGACTTGATGGAAACTCCTCTCTGACAAAGTATTTTTTCTTTTCTTTTTTCAATAAATTTTTGCTGATGCCATTTTCTTATTCTCTAATTTATTTACAACCATAGCAAATACAACTATATGGTAATGTATAGTTAGTCGACTTGATTTATTATTTTATTTTTTAATTATTTATTTGAGCTCACTATGTAGCTCTGGCTGTAGACCAGGCTAACTTCAAACTCACTGAGATCCACCTGCCTACCAAGTGCTGGGATTAAAAGCTTGTGCCACTACACCCAGCTTTCAACTTGATTTATTTTTATCTCAACTTTATCTCTGTATTTTATACAGATACTACTACTGTGTACCTATAGTATAAATTACTATTTATTAAAGTTTCAGATGTTTTTATTTAAAGGTTCTCAAAAGAAGTAAAATGGAAAAAGCTAACAACCTGATCAAATGTACAGCCTTTTGGCATCTAACAAGTCCTAGGAAGGGAACTGCAGTCATCTTGACCCAGGAAATCAGTCACCTGGCAAGTCCACAGCACTAGTAGAATGAAATTATTAGCTCTTGATCATATGGATCACTATGACAATTTTTTAAAATCTGTACAAAAGGTCTTTGTAAATTTTTTTAGAATTTAATGGCTGTCTTTTAAAGTTTATGTATAGACTTTTTAATTTTATATACAGAGGCTATATTTCCCAAATTTGACCCAGATGAGTCTGGTACTCAGTTCAGATGTACCTAACAGCAGATTTTCCCCTTTCTTTTTGACTGAGCTACCAACTTTCTGTCTTAACTAATGCAAAAAATACCAAGTAGTGAGAGATCCAGGTTGGTAAATGTGCCAGGTACACGGATGATGCTGCATTCAGTCTGGACTTCCACAAAGCAGAATGTTTTATGATGTGTAGACCCAATAATACCATAGTTTCTTGAAAAAAAGAAAAAAACAAAAACTCATTTATCTTATGACTATGTACTTTTCACTAGGATCTACACTTCTCAGCAGCAACGACATTTGAAACTGAAATGTCACTGACATCTATCAAATAAGCAATAAAATTTAAGAACTAAAAAATACTCAAATAACTGCTTAGCCCTAGCTCCTGAACTGGGGGTGGGGGGGTTTGGTTGGTGGAAACAGGGAGGGCCAGCCACCTGTCCCAGCACAAAAGAAAAATAGCCCCGAGGTGGGCAACTGATCATACAGGGCTGACCAGACAAGTGCACAGTCTTGGGAGACAATTTATCGTTACTTTTAGAACTTACACAATTGCCTTAATACAAGAGCATTAACAACAGTGAATTATCTCATATGTACTAAAGCAGAAATAACTATGAGTCAGGAATTTCATAGTCTCAAGGTTGGTTTTCTTTACACTTGAACACCTGTAGTGATGATGTTAATAAAGTGTGGCACTGCTTGAATTCAAATCTTCCTTTTTTTTTTTTGTCTGTGTATCCATACATCAAAAATTATAAATCCTCTTGGACGATGACATGAGATTGTAAGCCAAGTGACACCTTTCCTCTCATAAGTTGCTTTTGGTCAAAGTGTTTTTTATCAACAGAAATGGAACTCCGGGCAACCCGTTAAGAACAGATTCTAACGTCAGCCAATGCAAGCTCATTGGCATTTGTGAATATGTCACCCCCGTCAGTGGAGACTAACACATTCAAGGGCTTCTGCCTCATTCACCAAGATAAACACTCTGCTGCATCGTGAGAAGGATCTTCAGAAATTGAAAAGTATATTCTTGAACCACAATGGAGTTAAATGAGAAATAAAGGGATTTGGAACCCACCCCACCCCCCAAAAAACCTTCGGAATTAAGCAGCACACTTCTAAACAACTTTTGATAAAGATAAGGCAAGAATAGGGTTGATGACATTACTCATGTAGGGCTATTTCTAGATTATGACTTTGGGAAGGTAGACTTTGGTGATACGGCCAATAGTTCTCCGTTTTATAGTCTTCTCTTCCCTTCTCAGTTCTTTGATTTGTATCTACCTGATCATATGATCACATGTACCAACAATGTCAGTACCCAAGAAAACTAGTGTCTATTTGATTGGCTTTAATTTCTGTTTGTGCACAACTTAATGTTTCTGCTTTTTCTTAAGGTACTGATAATTAATGTTAGAAATTTGTCTCAGTTTTGTTAGAGATACTCTGTTTTTATAAAAAGATTTGGGCACTGGGGATATGGCTCAGAAGGTAAAATTACTAGAAACAAGCCTGACACCTGGATTTTATCCCCAGAACCCAGGTAAAAAGACAGATGCCGCAGCATCTGTCTGTCATCCCAGCACCCTTAACAGCAAAATGGGAGGCAGGAGAACCAGCCACCCTGAAACTTGAACCAGTTAACCTGAATATGCAGCACAGTAGCAGAAGCAGACCGTGTCTCAAAGTGGAAGGTGAGAACCAACTCCCCAAAGTTCTCCTCTGATCTCCACAGGCGCACACACACACACACACACACACACACACACACACACACACACACACACACACACACACGTGGGGACCTTTATGTGTACATTAGGCTTGCATACTACATGGTTTCAGCTCTGTGGCAGAGTGAAGGATAAAGATAATAGATAATAAATATATATACACATATATATTTATTTATTTTATGTCCCAATTCAGTTTCTCCGCCCTCCTCTCTTCCCAGTCCCTCCTCCTACCTCCCCTCTGCCTCCTCCCCCCATCCACTTCTCCTTGATTTCTATTCAGAAGAGGGCAGGCCTCCCATGGATATCAACAAAACATGGTATATCAACACTAGGAGTAGGATCTCAAAAGCCAGCAAAAGAGTAAGAGACAGCCCCTGTCCCCACTGTTAGGAGCCCCACAAGAAGACCAAGCTACACAACTGTCACATATATGCACAGGGCCTAGGTTAGTTCCATGTAGGCTCCCTGGTTGTCGGTTCAGGCTCTGTGAGCTCCTTTGAGCCCAGTTAGTTGATTCTGTGAGTATTCTTTTGTTTTGTTTTTTGAGACAGGGTTTCTCTGTGTAGCTTTGGTGCCTGTCCTGGATCTGGCTCTGTAGATCAGGCTGGCCTCAAACTCACAGAGATCCGCCTGGCTCTGCCTCCTGAGTGCTGGGATCAAAGGTGTGCGCCACCACCATCCAGCTGTGAGTTCTCTTATAAGTGAATACATACTATGTTTGTCTTTCTGGGTCTAGGTTACCTCAGTCAGGATGACCTTTTCTAGTTCCACATCCATTTGCCTGCGAATTTCCTGGTGTCATTGTTTTTAACAGCTGAGTAGTACTCCATTGTGTAAATGTACATTTTCTTTATCCATTTTCAGTTGAGGGGCATCTAGGTTGTTTCCAAGTTCTGACTTTTATGAATAAAGCCGCTATGAACATAGGTGAGCAAGTGTCCTTGTGGGATGATTGAGCATCCTTTGGGTATATGCCCAAGAGTGGTATGGCTGGGTCTTGAAGTAGAACCATTCCCTATTTTCGGAGAAACTGTAATATTGACTTCCAAAGTGGCTGTACAAGTTTCCACTTCCACCAGCAATGGAGGAGTGTTCCCATCACTCCACATCCTCTCCAGCACGAGCTGTCACTTGTGTTTTTGATCTTAGCCATTCTGAGAGGTGTAAGATGGAATCTGAGTTTTGATTTGCATTTCCCTGATGACTAAGGATGTTGAACGTGTCTTTAAGTGTTTCTCAGCCATTTGAGACTGAAACTGGTCTTTAAAATAAAGGCTTTACAAAGGATAACCAGACTGCAACTCACAGCTCCAGGGAGGCTAGCTAATAAAGAGGACCCTAGGAAAGACACAGGGATCACCCAGCAGTGGAGAAATGGATGAGATCTACATGAGCAAACTGGGGGTGAGGGGGGTAATGGAGGGAAAGGGTCAGGGGAAAGAGAGCTTAGGGGAGCGGGAGGTCCTAGCTGGATCAGGAACAGAATGGGAGAACAAGGAAAGAGATACCATGATAAATGAAGACACCATGGGAATAGGAAGAAGCAGAGTGCTAGAGAGGTCCACAGAAATCCACAAAGATACCTCCACAATAGACTACTGGTTGAGAGAGTGCCTGAGCTGACCTACTATGGTGATCGGATGGCCGAACACCCTAACTGTCATGATAGAACCCGCATCCAGTGACTGATGGAAGCAGATGCAGAGATCCACAGCCTCGTCCCAGGCTGAGCTCCAGGAGTCCAATCAATGAGAGAGAGGAGGGATTCTATGAGCAAGGGATATCGAGACCATGATTGGAAAAAGTACAGAGACAACTAGCCAAACTAGTGGAAACGCATGAACTGTGGACCAATAGCTGATGAACCCCCATGGTACTGGACCAGGCCCTCTGGATAAGTGAGACAGTTGTTTAGCTTGAACTGTTTAGGGGGCCCCCAGACAGTGAGACCGGGACCTGTCCCTAGTGTATGAGCCCGCTTTTTGGAACCTAGGGCCTATGCTGAGACACGTTGCTCAGCCTTGGTGCAGGGAGTCAAAATGTGTAGGATGTAGTTAAAGCATGCAATGACTAAGGATTTAACAACTACTGAATATGGTGATATTTTATTTGTATTAAAATGTTATTTGTGCCGGGCGGTGGTGGCGCACGCCTTTAATCCCAGCACTCGGGAGGCAGAGCCAGGCGGATCTCTGTGAGTTCGAGGCCAGCCTGGGCTACCAAAGTGAGTTCCAGGAGAGGCGCAAAACTACACAGAGAAACCCTGTCTCGAAAAACCAAAAAATAAAAAAATAAAAAAAAAAAATGTTATTTGTATGTTAATAAATAAAGTTGCCCAGGGGTCAGAGCTATTAGCAAGCCATAGGAAAGCAGGGCAGTGGTGGTATACGCTTGTAATCCCAGCACTTGGTAGGCAGAGCTGGGTAAGTCTCTGTGTGTTCAGGGATACAGCCATTATTGGATACACATGCCTTTAATCTCAATACCAATCATGGAAAACCTGGAGGTCTATACAGACAGGCCGTGAGGAGGCGGTCATGTGGTTGGGTTTACAACCAATGAGAAGGCAGGACAGGAACTCTATATAAAGACTTTAACACAGGGGTAGCTCTGGTTCGGAGAGGTAGGATCACCGCAGGAGGAAGGGTAAGGTTTTAGCTCTTAGCTCTGACCTCTTGGCTTTCTTCTTTGCATTGGTTCTGTGTTTCTTATTTAATAAGAAAGTTGGTTACATCTACAACTGAAAGAAGCCAGAATAAGTGTAAAGAAGGAAATAATAATAAAAAAATAATAAAAACGAGCAAAAAGTCAAATTGGTGTCTCTGAGTGGCCAGTGCAGGAAGATCTTCTGATTGAGAAACAGAGCTCACTCCCTTCATGCAGTAGGAAAAGCAGGGTGCCCAGGTGAGTTTCTAGACAGCTCCACTGACTGACCACGGCAGCACCACCAGGCCGGATCACCAGTCCATAGGGCCTCGTCCCTACTTTGTTCAGTGTTTGACGTGGAGTCACTCAGTGCTCATTGTGTGTGACGGACACCAATGTGCTGCCTTAAGCCTTTTCATGAGGCAAGTCTGATAATGTGATCAGTAAGTAGCCTCCACTTCCAGCCCTGTCCTCAGGGCTCCCCTAGAGTCTCCCTGGGACTGTGGGGCAATCATGGGGTCCTGCCCCAGGTGCTCATCTCCTCTGCTCTCAGGACCCTGTTCTTTCTTAAGCACAGGTTCCAAGGGCGAGACTCAAAAACAGCATGTCCTTTACCCCGTAGGTTCTGGGAACCCCGCTGGCCTGTGGTCCCGTGGAGTCAGGAAATGACAGGGTAACCTCGTAGACACGTGTCATAGGAAGAGCAGTCACAGACGACAGCCAAGCCAAGTCGCCATTGTGGCCTGTGGACTTCACATAGTGTGGCCAGCATGCCCCTCCCATGCCCTGTTCTGGCCGCTTCTAGAAGGTACTGTCAGGTCTGGCCTTGGGGGTCTTGGTACACGCTTTCCTTCCTGTCTAGGCTGCCTTCTAGGAGGTCATCCTCCTGCCTTCACAGTCCATGGACCTCGTCTATGTTATCGACGCTCTCAATCCCTCTGTGGTTAGAGGTGCTTGCCTACATACTCTGTATGCATCTGGTTTCTGTGTGTATCACCAGGCCCAGGTTGGTCTAGAGTTGTCTGGTGGGGAGGGAGGGTGGCTGAGGACTAGAGGGAGAAGGGTGTTAGCCTTGTGGTGCTGTCTCTTTAAGGGTATCGACATCACAAGGCTGTGGAACCAGGCAGCGTGGAACTCCGTGGTCTTAGGTTGTTTCTGTGGGGTCTGTGGGCTTTGTATTTCCATCTCCATGGGGCCACAGGCCCACATGTGAGCACTTTAGGACACTATGGCAGAGGGTAGCGAGCTGATGAACAGGCTCATGAGCGAGAACGCGGACCTGAAGAAGCAGGTGCGCCTCCTGAAGGAGAACCAGATGCTGAAGAGGCTGCTCAATGAGAGTTGCCAGGACAGCTGTGGCCGAGGGAGCCGGGACTTGCTCTTTCCCAAGGCCCCTACCTACCCTGAGGCCTGCTCCCCCGGGAATGGAGGTGAGGTGCGGGCCTTGCCTGGACAGAGCAGCTCCCCCTATGAAGGGTTAGAGAGGCCTGCTCATGGGGCAGCTTCCAACCTCTTAGGCCAAGTAGCCTGTTGTGCAGAATATCCTGGGGAAAGCCTTTCTCTCAGAGACTCAGTCCACACCTGAATGGTGGAGTGGGCATGTCCGCTGGTGGATATGCCAGATGGTAATGTCTCTAAGTACTGCCACCTGGATTAAGACAGGCAGGGTGTGATCACATGACTCCAGGCCCGCTGAAGTCACTTCCATTTTGTTGGGCTTGGCTGGGCGGCTTTATCCTGCGCCCTGTCTCCTCCTCTGCTTTGTAGCAGCTGGTCCCATGTTCTTGTCTTGTAGCGGGGCAGGTGTGCCTATTGATCGAGGGAAGCTGGGCCTCATCCATTCGCTTGCATTGGGTTGAAAGAGTCACTTGTCAAACCTGGCTCCAGGAGAGAGGTGCAACTCCCACCCCAGAGGGAGATCGTGCTATCAATTCTTGGATGTGAGTGGGTGGCAAAGACTGTGTGTGGTTTTTTGTTTTTGTTTTTTGAGAGAGGGGGAAAAAGCATGTGTGGGGCTGGTGATCAATTTCTGCAAAAAGTAGTTGGCTGTGTTTTAATAGGTTTGGTAAAAAAAAAAAAATTCTCTTTTCATACACAGTAGTGAGGTTTAGGATATGTTTGGCAGATGTGACCTGGGACTTTGGTTGGAATGGTGGGCAGTGGACAGAAGCCCCTCCCATCACTGGTGCCTGAGAACTCTAGTGATCCAGGAGGCTCAGCTTCCTTAAGGAAGTGATTGCCATTTATACCACCTGGCCAGAGTGGGAGGCTAGAGATGTGCTCCAACTCACCTAGTCCTTAAGGATACAAACAGCCTGATGGCTAACTGTGGCATTGGCCAGGCTGTAGCCCACTCCTATGAGGTGTCCTGAGGTTGGCTATGAACGTGTCGAAAGGGAGACTTTGAGGACAAAGTCTTTGGTCTAGTGACTTCTTTGAGTCCACTTTGGATGTCTGCCTCTGTCCTCTGAGCCCAGCCATTACTGAAAAGTCTCATAGCCCACTGGGGTCTGGTAGGCACAAAACTTAGAGGATGAGAGGAGTCCTTCACCACATCTCCATCACTGAGTCCCAAGAGGAACCTTGAAGAGGAAACTTGGATATACAGGGGATCCTCTGAGGGAGCTAGAGTTGGTGCCAAGTGGCCAAGAAAACAGAACGTTTGTTGGAGGGACTGTGCTCATGCAGCTGGGTCACGTGTGAAATTTGTGACACTGTGTGTTGTGGTGACTGTGGAGATACTAGCCCCTCACTAGTGTCTCATTTTGCTGACCACCATCCGAGACTGACAAACTTCATGCTACCTGACGGGGTCCCCAGGGTATTGAGAGAGGGATCTAGTTTTGTACTTTCACGTGTGAAACGCAGTTATCCAAAACTATGTGTTGAAGAGACCCTTTTCTAAGAATTTGTAGTTTTGTTTGTTGGCCCACTTTGGTTTTCTGCTTTTTACTGAGCCATATTTATATCAATTTCCAAGAGAAGCTCTCCTGTCAACATTTCTAGAGGTGGACAGCTGTACATAAGGCTTGTTGGTGCTTTGAAGAGTGTCTGGGTCTGTAAGACCAAAGGGTCTTATAGGGGCAGACAGGAGGTGTAGCATCTTGCCAGCAAGTTGTTGTTGTTTTAACTTTTTTTTCTTAGAAAACACTTTAGGGGCAAAGCAGTTGGTTCCTGCATGTGTACATTTTAAGATAAGGCTTTTGATAGGCTCTTAAATTAAGCACTTTCTCAAGTATACTTGATTGCTTACTAAGAGAACAAGCCCTGGGTAGGTAAGAACTTCCCAAGTCAAAGAACAGATTGATGAGACCTGTGGAAAACAAGGGCCGTCAAAATGCACACACCTGAGCTCAGGAGTGACTGTGGAAGGGCTCACTGAGAGCAAGGAGGCACATCCAGAGAGGCTGACCACAGCTTTGCTATTTGTTTGTTTGTTTTTCAAGTACTGAGCTTTGAACCCAGAGCCTAGCCCAGCTAAGCAAGTGCCCTACCACGGAGCCACCACCCAAACCACAGCTTTGCTTTTATGTTGAAAAGTCACTGGGCATGCATATGGGCAAGGAAACAGAGGAGCCAGGTGCTTCATAAGTGGCTGGATATGGATAAATGCGAACATTTTATGTTGCAGAAAGACTTACGGGATGATACCGTTTGTGATGACTTTAAAAAGCACGTTTTTAGGCATCACTCCAGTGAGTGTGGTTGTGAGCACATGCTTACTCTTGAGTTAGCGGGACAGGGGCTCCCTCCATCATCAGAAGTGCTAAGAAGGGGCCAGAGTTCTGGGTTCGGGAGCGATAGCTTTCATCCACATCTCTCTGTGCTTCCAAGCATGTCTGAGTACCTCCAGTCTGACTTACTGTTCTTTTCTTCTCCACTCCAGGTCCAGATTTTGGAAGGTTTGCCAGTGTCCCTGATACAGCCTCTCAGCTACAGACATCTTCCCTAGAGGACCTGCTATGCTCACACGCCCCGCTCTCCAGTGAGGATGAGGCCTCCCCAGGATGTGCATCCACCTCCCAGGTGCCTTTCAAGGCCTTCCTCAATCCGCCAGAACTACAAACACGACTGGTCGACCGGAAGCTGTCTCCACTCCTGAGTCCCATGCAGGATTCCCTGGCTGACAAAACCCTGCTTGAGACCAGGGAAATGGTGCGGCCTAAGAAGGTGTGCTTCTCGGAGAGTAACCTGCCCACTGGGGATAGGAGCAGGCGGACCTATTACCTCAATGGTATGGTACACACAGGCGGCCCTGGGTGGGGAAACCCATGTGTAGGAGACTTGGTTGTGGCTAGTTTCTCCAGTGGTGAAGAGTAGGGAGGAGAGCCAGGGAGGGCCAGGGTCCAAGGTTATATCTGCCCTGGCCTTTTGGAAAAAAATAGAGTCGCTTGTCTTCATATTTAGTTGCAAAATCTGTTCATGTGATTCTGGATATAAGTCCTTTTTGGGTTTATGTTTCTTAGGTATTGCCTCCCAGTCTGCATGTTTTCCACTGTTTACTGTTTCGTTGGGGGAAGGATGAAACAATTGAACATAGTCAAGTTGAACTTCCTGGGTGTTTTTTTTTTGTTGTTGTTGTTTTTTTGTAGTTTGTACTTTCTGTGTCTTATTTAAGAAGTATTTATTAAAACCAAGATTATAGATTGTCTTTATTCTTTTGGATGTTTTACATTATAGCTTTAGGTTTTGGATTTAGGTCTCTCACTAGTTACAAGGCATTTTTTTTTTATTTTTGTCTGTGGTATGAGGTTTGCATATAGAAGCTACACCTAACACCAACACTTGAAAAGACGGCTCTTCCCCATGGAACTACTCCAGCATCTTGTCAAAAACTGACCCTCATCCTGCATGTGAATCTGTTTTTGAACTCTTAAGTGGCTTAATACATCCATTTGTGTAGATCCCCTTAGACTGGATGTTTATGGCTTTGTGTCAAACCATTAATCAAGTTGTCCTGGCTGTTCTAGCTCCTTCATGTCTCTGTATTCACTTTAGAATCAGATCAGCCATCTTTACAAAAGAAATCTGATGGGATCTTGACTGGAACGATCTTGGATCTCTAGGCCAATTATATTGACTTTTTTTTTGACAAATGGCACCTTTGAGAAATTGACATATTTTAGATTTTTATTTCTTTATTTTAGTAATTTTTAAAATCAAAATGTAATTGTATGATTTTTCCTTTCTCTTTCTTCTTTCCAACCCCTCCCACATACCCCTTCTCTCAAATTCATGGTGGCTTCTTTTTCTTTAGTTATTGCTGCATATGTGTATGTGTGCCTGTGTGTGCCCCTAAATTTACAAGCACAACCTGCTCATTCTGTACACTTTTACTTGTATCCTATATGATTTCAGGGCTGGCCACTTGAATTTTTAAATGAACACTGTATATTTATATTTATTGTGGTATGTAAATGCTATTTATTTATTTGTTTATTTTTTGAGACAGAGTCTTTCTATGTAGCTCCAGCTATCCTGGAACTCACTATATAGAACATGACCTCACAGAGAACCACCTACCTCTGCATCCCAAGTGCTGGGATTAAGGGCGTGCACCATCGTGTTCTGGCCATAAATTTTACTAACAACATTTTATATTTCTTACACATGGAAATATCCCTATATATTTCTATATATAGTTACTATATACCTGTATGTTGACCTCTGTGATAGTTAATTTATGTGTTATAGGTCAGCCTCTCTAGGATAGGGCACCTAGTCATTTAGTCATCCATTATTCTTTGTATGCTAGTAAAGATTTTTTTTTATGAGATTAATATTTAAATATTAATATTGGTAGACTGGAAAAAACGGATCTCCATCCTCAATGTGGGTAGTCTTTGAATAAGTTGAAGGCCTGAAAACATCCCCCGAGAATTCTGCTTTCAGGCCTGGACTGTAAATATCAGTTCTTTCTGGTCTCTATGACACTAGCCTTTGGGCAGGAATTTTGTCTATATCATCAGTTCTTCTGGCTTTGCCATTTGCCAACTGCAGCTCTCAAGATTTGTGGGATTTCATAATCATTCTAATTCCTTATAATAGATCCCTACACACACACACACACACACACACACGCACGCACGCACGCACACACACACACGCACACACGCAGTCCCAATGGTTCTGTTGCTCTGGAGAACACTGATGAATACAGGTTGTGTCCTAAAAGCTTACCAAACTAGTAACTGTTTTGACAAATTCCTTCTGGTGTTTTGTTTTGTTTTCTTTTTGCAGTACAGGACTGAACCCAGGGCCCCCAGCCTGCTAGGCAAGCACCCTATTTACTGCTGAACTATATATCTCTGCCCAATTATATCATTTGTGAAGGAAGACAAGCTCACTGTTCTATTTCTAACTTTTGTCTTTAATTTCTTTTTCTTATCCTATTACATCAGCTAGGTCTCTAAACCAGTGTGGAGTGGGATTGATGACAGTGACATCTTTGTTCTTTTTCTAGTTAGGGGAAACTTTCATGTGTTAACTATGAAGCCTGACACTAGTTAGGTTTTGTAGATGCCTCTTGCCAGGCTGAAAAAATTCCCTTTGGTTTCTAGTTTGCTGATTTATCACAAACAGAAATTAAAATTTTGTTAAATAATTTTTCTTTTTTCTTTTCTTGGTTTTTCGAGACAGGGTTTCTCTGTATAGCTTTGCGCCTTTCCTGGATCTCACTCTGTAGCCCAGGCTGGCCTTGAACTCACAGAGATCCACCTGCTTCTGCCTCCCGAGTGCTGGGATTAAAGGCGTGCCCCCCCCTCCCCGCCGCCGCCACCGCCACCACCACTCGGCTCTGTTAAATACTTTTTCAACTTCTATTGAGATGGATATTTTTGTGATATGTTAGATATTTTAACTTTTCATCACTGTGATGAAACACTAGAAACAAGCTACTTAGGAAGTAAAGGGAGGTTTGTTTTGGTTCATGGATTGGGAGACTCAACTTTAAGAAGATCAAGTTGTCTCCTGGATTTGTGATTCTGGTGAGGGAGGCACAGGCAAGAAGTAGAGAGAAGGGGTAGAGGGCTTAAGTCCCACCGGGCTGTGTGAGAGCACACTCTCAGTGAGCTAAGGACCTACCACCAGCTCACTTCTTGAAGGGGCTGTAGTACTGCTACCCTGAAGCCAAACCTTTACATATGGACCTTTGGAGATCCCATTCATATCATAGCCTATGGTAAATCATACTGACTAATTTTTTAATGTTAAACTAACTTTGCATTCCTAAGATAAACCTCACTCGATGATGATATATTTTACTTTTTCATCTAGTTGAATTCTGCTTGCTAAAATTTTTGTTAAGGATGTATGCTATTCATGTGAGATGCCATTCTTCAATTTTCTTGTAATGCATTTTCTGACTTGGTATAAATTGTTGGCCCTAAAGAATGAGATAGACAGTGTGACAGCCTTCTTATTTAGCTGGAGGAATTTATGTCATGTTTGTCTTCTTTCTTTCTTTTGTCTTTTTCCCCCTTGGTTTTTTCAAGACAGGGTTTCTCTGTATAGTTCTGGCTGTCCTGGAACTCACTCTGTAGACCAGGCTGGCCTCAAACTCAGAGACCCACCTGCCTCTGCCTCTGGAGTACTGGGATTAAAGGCATGTGCCACCACTGCCCAGCTCTTATTTATTTCTTACATGTTTGTCAGAATTCACCACTGAAACCAACTTGGCCTTGAAATTTGCAAGAATCTTTTAAAAAAAAGATTTGTTTTTTATGTGTATTCATGTTTTGCCTGCATGTATCTGTGTGTACTACATACATGTACAGTGCCTGTGCAGCCAGAAGAGGGAACAGGATTCCCTGGATCTAGAGTTAAGGATCACAACCAAACCACCACGTGGGTGCTGGGAACCGAACCCAAGTCCCTCTGCAGGAGGAACAAGTGCAAAGAACTGCTGTGCCACCTCTCCAGTTCCTGGAATGTTTTGTGACTACAAATCCCATTATTGAATAAGTATATTCTATAGGTATCTATTTTTGCATGAGATTAGGTAGCTTGTATATTTTTAATAGAGTGTTCTGTTTCATCTAGGTTGCCATTTTTTTTTTTGTGTGTGTGTGTAAAGCTACTCCTAATATTTTCTTATTATCTCCCTAAGTGTCATTAGAATGGTGCCATTTCTAATTTTTGACCCTAGCTATTTTGTGTTTTTTTCTTCCCTGATAACTCTACCGAGAGATACGTCAATTGTATTGACTTTTTTCTTCGACGTACAGCCGGATCTTGGAAATTCTAGGTTGGTCTAGGAATGAGTCCTAGAACTTTTTGGGCGGAATGTTTCATCTGCCTAATTAATGCTTGGGGGCGGGGGTGCAGAGGAGAGAGAGAGACCCCAACAGGAGAAATGCAGGGGCTGGGAACATGGCTCGGCTGGTAAAGTGCCTGCTGTGTGAGAATGAATTGCACTTCTATCTTCTACGTAAAGACTGAGCACTGTGGCATGGATATAGAACCGTAGCACTGGAGGTGGAGACAGGCAAACCTCGGAAGCTTGCTGGCTGGCCATTTTAGCCGATTGGTGAGCTTCACGTTCAGTGAGAGACACTGCTTCAAGACATAAGGAAGAGAGTGATAGAAGATGATACTGGTGTTCAACTCATCTGACCTCCACATGCATACACATATGTGAACATGTATCTGCAGGTGCACATGCATACAAACACACACAGAGAGAGAGAGAGAGAGAGAGAGAGAGAGAGAGAGAGAGAGAGAGAGAGAGAGAGAGACAGAGAGACAGAGAGAGACAGAGACAGAAAGAGAGAGAGAGAGAGAAGAGATATGCATTAATATGGAAGGGTATGTATGCACTCTGCCTCTTCATGTGCCAATCCACCCTGTGTATGTATGCTTGTATGTTTGCTTGTTTGAGACAGGTTTTCGTTGGATACTCTCAAATTCACATCAGTCCTCCTGCCTCTACTTCTTTTTTTTTTTTTTTGGTTTTTCGAGACAGGGTTTCTCTGTGTAGCTTTGCGCCTTTCCTGGAACTCACTTGGTAGCCCAGGCTGGCCTCGAACTCACAGAGATCCGCCTGACTCTGCCTCCCGAGTGCTGGGATTAAAGGCGTGCACCACCACCGCCTGGCCACTGCCTCTACTTCTTAAATGTTGATATTACATGTACCATCTGACTGGGTCTAGTTTTAATTCCTGGATTAAAAAAAATGTTCTTGGACAATTTTATACATATATTAATGTATTTTGATAATATCCACATCTTTTTTAA